ATTCTATGATTCTATGATTCTCTAGGCTGAACAGACTCAGATCTCAGTCTCTCCCCATATGCCACATTCCTCAACCATTGTGGCCCTCTGCTGGACTTGCTTCAGTTTGTCGCTAGTTTTTCTTTTACTGAGGAACCCAGAACTGGACACCACGCTCCAGATGTCATCTCACAAGTGCTAGATAGAGGAGAAAGTTCACTCCCTTTGTTCAGCTGGTTTCACTGTTACTAATACAGGCCAGGATATGGTTGGCTGTCTTTGCCACAAAGACACACTGCTGAGTCTTGTTGAATGAAGTTACTCCATCCTAGGTGTAGGACTTTGCTTTTGCTTTTGGTGAAGTTTATAAGGTTCCTGTCAGCCCATTTTTCCAGCCTTTGGAGGTTCCTCTGAATAGCAGACATGCCCTCCAGAGTGGATCAGCAGATCCCCGCCCCTAATTTGGCATTGTCTGCAAACTTGCTGAAAAGTGCACTCCATCAAATCATCCAGGCTGTTAGTACAGAAGGGAAGCAGTATTGGCCCCAACATCACTAGCTGAGGGATACCTCTAGTGACTGACTGCCAGATGGACTTGGTACCACTGATCGTAGCCCTTTGAGCCCAGTATGCCAGGCGATACTCGACCCACCTTATCATCCATCCTTATCTCACCAATTTGGCTATAAGGATGCGATGGGAGATTGTGTCAAAGGCTAAAATCAAGGCGAACAACATCCAGTGCTCTCCCTTACCCACAGAGCCAGTCATCTCCTCATAGAAGGCAACTGCGTTAGTCAGGTACAATTTACCCATGTTAAATCAATGATGGCTGTTCCCAATCACTTTCCTGACTTTCATGTGCTTGGAAAATTAATTTGTGGGAGACTTGTTCCATAATTTTCCCAGGCCTGATGTGAGGCTTGATGGCCTGTAGTTCCCCAGATTCCCCTTCTTGCCTTTCTTGAGGGTGGGTGGGACATTTGCCTTTTTCCATTGAGAACTTCTCCAACCCCCCTGACTTTTCAAAGGTGATAGACCTGTGATAGACAGGTGATAGGCCTGTGTCCATCCATTGCAGCACTCCAGTCAGGTGAGCTATGCCACCATGTCTCCATACTCTCAGAGATGTCACAGCTTTCCACTGTGCATGGAATTCTTCCTCCTGGTTGTACCCCATGCTCTCTGTGTGTGTGTGTGTGTGTGCATACAGGTACCTGAGAGGAGCCCCAGTGAGGCTGCTTTTACAAGGGTAATGCAAGAGCCTTTGCCATCCCGTTGTCCCCCAGCTGCTTCCTCACTGCCTCCATGCCTTCACTTCTCTTCACAGCATGACAACCCTTCCCCAACACACCTAATTTAAAACTTTTTCCACTGTTTTAGTGAACTTGTTGGCAAAGACGCTCTTGCCCCAGTTTGCCAGGGGAATGTCATCCCTGCGCAGCAGTCCTTGTTCTTCAAAAAGGGTCCCGTGGTCGTAGATGCTGGAGCCCTGCTTGCAGCACCAGCCATGCAGCGTCATGTTGACTGTGGGATGCATCCATTCCCACCTGCACAGTGAGCCCCCTCACTGGGAGGACTGAGGAGATACCACCAGGGCAGCATCCCCCTCACTGCTATCTCAGGGCTGTCAGTCACCCTTGATATGCTCAGTGTTGCTCTAGTGGTACCATTGGTGCCCTCACGGATGAGCAGTCAGGGAACTTAATGTTTAGCGTGTGGCTATTTTGGAAAAGAAGAAGAAAAAAAAGGAAAACAGCTTAGCAAATGAAAATGTTAGCCAGTGTCTTTACTAAGGCTTGTTTTCATGGAGTTTGTAAATAGAAGACAAAAAGAACCCACTGCAATGGGTACGTTTTAGCCACTGCTGTCTTTCGTAGCAATCTTTCTTTGCAAACTGCAGTTGTTATAGAAGCCATGACAACCTGCAGGAGTGGGAATTCAACATTCTTGGCTCATTTTGTTTAACAGGGGACAGGAAACTTACCTGATGTCTTTTCTACCCAGCTTGTCATTAGCACCCACTAGCAGGTGTGGGAATAAACTGTTCAGTCTGGAAGTGTTTGAATTATCTCTGATCAAGAGCTGGTGGCAGAAAAAATAATAGATGGAAAAGTGGTTGTTCTGAAGCTATGGCCACATGTAGAAACACAGCCATACAAGAGCTATTAGACTATGTGCTCTTGGAGAGCCAAGGACCAAGCCAAGGCTACAAATTGTGCAGTAGTCTGTGCCTAGGGATGGAAAACCATGTATTTGGGTTCAAAGGACATAATGGAATAAGAAAATACAAAATAATTCAAATGATAACATATAAAAAGGAAAAGTAACAAGCTGTAGGCCAGAAGTAGGAAAGAGTTGCTGCTTTAAGGTAGTTTTTAGGTAAATATTGATCAGATATTGCTAACGTTTGGTGGATCTTAATGCTATAAAAGGCACTTGAAACATTCAACATTTCTCAGGATTGTGCTGACACACCATGGTAGACTGTGGTCCTTCTGCAGTAAGGTGGTGTAGGTCCCTCTGAGGTCAGTGGTAGGAGGACCATGCCTTTAGTGCAAAGAGATGTTTAGCATTCATGTTGACTTCTGCATGTGGACCAGAGTGAGCATTGGTAAATATGGATTGCACTGGAAGCAGGGAAAATGGGAAATGCATAATCAATATTGTGGTCTGCTAGCTGAGGGTCTTCATCTGCAGCCACTCAACTGGCATCTTACACATGCAGTTCATGACAGCGGTGCCCAGACAAGAACAAGGTTTCAAAGATTTATACCTAAGGTTGCACTTTGAGAACACTTGGAGTGAAAAGTGAAGCACGTTCGTAAGTCTTCTAAGGAACAAAGTTTAAACAAAATATTGTTAAATTTATGTGTAAGCAGCAAAAAAAATCCATGTTAGACAAAAAATTAAGATTTAAAGGTAGATAAAAAATTAAGATTTAAAGGGTAAAGAGGGCTTGTGGAGACAAAGCGAGGGAAATAGGTTTAGCAAGTTGCCGCCTGGTATGGAATGAAAGGGAAAAAAAATGGGCTGCAAACTCATCAAAAACACAGTTGTTAATTGAAAAGCTGACAGACCTCTAACTACAGCAGCGCTTCTGGCCGCCACTATAATAAATGTAACTGTACATTTAGAGTAATTTGCTAATTTGCCTAAGTAACACCCACAGACAGCAACATGACATAAATACATTAGTGGAAGCAACAACTATAACCAGCTCGTACAGGTTCTTGGCTGCTAGATGGATGGATCAGATGAGCTGGAAAAGATTTACAAAACAGAACAGAAATGGAATTGTTAACACTATTGCGGCATACAGGATTTCTTTATTTTCCTATTTCCCAAGAATGCTTTAAGGCCTGTAGATGCCCATACATACTGTAGCATGTAAGTAACATTTTAAGCTTGTGGGTGTATGTGTGCACACACCCGGAAAACTTGTAGAGACGGATTACGCATCTGCAAAATGCTAAACATTTCAGAAGCAAAAATGACAAAATTTACATCTCGAGTAGTCTTTCAGGTAAATAATTAAATCTCCAACATTCAACATGTAATTATAAATATCTGAAAAGAGTTTCTGTTAGTAAATCTTCTAGAGGCACATGTGTATTGGGTCCACAGGAAAGACTGGAACCTGTACAATCGGCTTTCCTAATACAGGTGTTAACAAGTGTCTGAAACTTATACTTTGGAGTTGCCCAGATCTTTTCATTTGGCAAATAATGAGTTCAGCCATGTGGCATCTCCTCTGGGCTAGCACTGTTCTCTGTCTTCTGTTTCCGTAACTCTGAATCACGCTGTTGCATTTTATTCTTAAGTCCTACTCATGCCAACTTTTGCCACTGCATATTGACTGGTGTTTTACATTCTCTAAATATCCTACCTCTAGGCTAGGCTTGGGGTCATCACTAAAGCTTTCTATGTTATCAACAATACATTTTTAAAATAAAAACTGACAAGATTGCTGCTGTGCAAGGTGGGTCTCATTTTCAATAAAATATTTCTTTCTGCTCCCAATCTCCTGTTCTGACTGTCTTCATCCTGATGCAAATTAATAGTGCAGAAGCAAAGCTAATGAATGCAGCTTTACACAGTTTCTGTCTTTGTTTCCTCTCAGATATACTTAGAAGGTTTCTACTGAGCTTTTTGAGACAGGTGATGCCTGCTCTCAAGGGCAGAATCCAATTGATAACCAAATGTGGAGTCAGGTAGAAAGTTTCTGTTGCAGTGCTTCCCTCAGGAAGAACCCACGTGTGTGGGCATATGAATTTCTGCCTTCAGCAGGTGGTTAGGAGGTTGTTGTAAGGTTTTTCACTAAACATGGATTGTAAAATATTCTTGAACATGAGTCACTTAAAATTACAGTCCATGGATCTAAGGAAGTCACTGAGAAAGCGGAGCAGGAAAAAACATGGGATAGAGGCAAACTGCGAGACCTCTGGGGGATGTGGAGTTTTGACAGCTAAACCTAATCCCTGTCTTGCTTGAAGGCTTGATCTTAATGTCAGGGCAAAGAGGGCAGCAAACCCCGCTGGCTGACCCAAGTTCCGACGCTGTTAAGACCTCCTCAGTACAAGCTGATAAAGACCACAGCTCTGGGAGAAGAGAGCTGACATTATTTTATGAAGCGTTACGGCCAATCTTCTTTGAACCCTAATTTCTGTCAAAGAGTTATCATCACTGTCACAGTAAGTGATACTTGCAGCACAAATGGCAATTAACTAGAAGTAAATAGTAGAGCAGAAGTCTGCAGACTGGTTTTTAAGGTTGATGAGTTGAAAGTAGTTTCAACACATTAATGCTAAGCGTGCTAAATCATAGTGTGCCCTGAAAAAGACAGTAATGTCATTTACCCAAAACCACCAGGAGTTGCAGTAACATGTAGTAGGGATACGCTCGATTGTTTCAAATATGTGAACGTATTATATGAGTCGATAATAGTTTGTGAGTCTGTCTGTTTTCTTTTATCAGATTTTCCATAAAACAAGTAATTTGTTTGTTTTTCACTGTTTTAGGTAGCCTGCCCTATGAATACAAGATTGTGATAGCAGGAAATCATGAATTGACCTTTGACCAGGAATTCATGGCTGACTTAATCAAGCAGGACTTTTACTATTTCCCCTCTGTTTCTAAGCTGAAGCCAGAGAGCTATGAAAATGTACAGTCTCTTCTAACAAACTGCATCTATCTTCAAGATTCTGAAGTGACGGTGAGGGGATTCAGAATATATGGCTCCCCTTGGTAAGCAGGTTTTTAAGCATACATTAAAAAAATATTGTTGATTGCTATCACATCAGCCATTTCGTATGCATCAGCTATATTTGGATTGCTGTGTTAGGAAGAAAAGTCATACTCAGTTTGATAAAGTTTTTATATTTTCTTGTAATGAATCATTCCTGTGACAAAATAATGTACTATGGGTTTTGTTAACCAAATAATGATGGGAAAAAGATAGTATGCTCTTAAAACTCTCAGTCAGGAGCAGTTCTCTAACACAGCCCATGTAGGGGGTTTTTGTGTCATAAAATATGTTTTCTATACTTAGTGAGTTTATATTATTACAGGTTAATTTTATTGCAAGGGTACATTCTTTTTACAACTTCCATCCTGCAGATAATATTTAAGGTTCATTAGTGTATACAGTAGTCATTTAAGGCAGCAAGCTTGTTTCAGTATTTGTTTAGGCTTTTTTTTTTAATATCCCTCAGAATCTTACTTTCTTTTATACAGTAATAGCTTTCCTCAAGGTATAGTTTAGCTTGTAAATGAAAGTCAACAAATCAGTGTCAACCTACTATTTCATGGATTTTGCTCAACTGCGTAGAGTGAACACTTAGAACTCCTTGACAGTATGGGAGACAGATGGACTTTGGCTTCCTGACCTCCACCTTGGAGCTCTATGCTGCTTCTGTGTTTCTTACTTATGTTACATTACTACTATGTTATTTCTGCTAACAGGACTGTAAACTGGGTCTTTTATGAGCATTCAGTATACATTTAAAATAAGTAAAAATTTATCTTAAAAGGCAGGTTTTTAAGGGTATCTCTTATTCTTTCTTTTAAAATCACATCAGGCTGGAATGTAGCAAACAAGTTGTCAAACCTGATGCATGTACCCCAATGTGAATTTTCAGTGTGAATAAACTGTGAAATCTCTTGGATTTTTTTTTTAATGAAAATTGGCATTTTCCCATTTGGTTACTTGAGATGGGTGTTAATTTTCTCTGAGCTTATTATTCTACATTTGTCTACATTAAATAGCTTTCCTCTTAAATGCACCCTTCTCTCTCTCCCTCTTAGATCTCCAGATCTTTCTGGGTTTTTTTCAACCTACCCACCTGCTGTGTTGTAGTTCATCTTCCTCTTGTGTCTACTGTGTATTCAGTCAATGTACAATTTACTTCATTTTCCAAATTATTAGGGAAGATATTAGATGGTATCAGTCCCAATATTAACTTCTGAGAAATGCCACTTGGCATCTCTTCCCATTTTGATGTTCAACTGTAAATACTGTAATTATGCTCTGTTTACAATATGTCTGGCAACTTCATATCTTCATTGCAATATTCGTAACCATGCACCATATTTCCAGTGTCAGTAATAATTTTCCAGGCAGTAAAGTACCAAAAGTCTCATTAAAGTCTAGATAAATTAAATTAAAGCAAAACACTATCTATAAAGTAGCACTAAGTAGAGGCTAAAGGAAACCATTTGAACTCTCTGTGTATGATTAAATCTGTAAAAATCTGTTGAGAAAACTTTTGTCCACCCACTAACCCATAAATAATGTTTCTGTAAAATCAAATCTGCCGCATTCCCTTTGTGCGCTAATCCTGTCATTTTGCACAACTTGTCTAAGCTATCTGGCATGACCTATTCTTCATGAAAAAAGATTGCTTTCCGTCTTTTATGCATCTTCAGGTTATATCTAAACTTCCACACTACATGTTTCACAGTGTTGCTAACTCATCTCCCACCCCCTTATGGTCCTGGAAGATGAGTGTTGTAAGGTCCTTTGAAGATCTTTGCTTACTCCATATGGGAGAAAGTCTTAATGAAAGTCTTCCAGCCAAACTGGTTTTTTTGCTTGTTATGCAATGCTGAATGAAGTTTCCATGCTAATTGATGTCATGTCCAGTGGAAACAGCAACAACAACAATAATAGCAATAATAAGTCACGCTTCATTAGTCTATCAGAACAGCAGATGCAGAAGTAACAAAGTCACATTAGCCAGCCCACCAGTCAGAAAACTTAGGAAGAGAAACAGCTATTTCATGTGGGTTAAACTAGCTGCCGCCTAGATTGGAGGCTGTAGTACAAACCCGTGCCTAGTGATCACTACTGTTCTTTAGCATTTCTTTTTGTGTCTATACTTCATTCACCCTGAAAAGAGAGGTTTGTCATAGCCTCTCTGGGAAATCAATCTCAGTTTCTTTCTACATCACAGTAATGTAATCTCTAAAAAAATACAGAACTTTGGTGAACTTTCCATGGTGAATCTTTTTTTGCCCTTGCATGATGAATCTAGTCCTTTAGAAAATGCTTATGAACCTAGTCAAGACTTCAAAATGTAGAGTTCTTTAAGATCTCAGAACTCAATAAGAAAGCTAAATTTCATGCAGTTGCTTGTTTAGTATCCTAAAATAATTTTCTTGAAAATATGCATCTAGCTTTTTGAATGGATTTGTTTAATTGGAGAACTCCCAATTACAGTTTATGTTTGTTGTCTATACATGACTCTGTTTAATGAGAAGGTGAGCTATCTAGAAATTAAAAGACTGGGGCCCCAGATCCTGCCTTTCCATTTCTGGTTACAGCCCTGACCTTCTGTTCTACCTCACCCTTTGTAAAAATTACTACAAGCTAGAGATATCCCTACTTTATAAAACAGGTTAATCAATAGTTTCAAAGTACTTTGAGAATGCTGGAGTAAGGTCTGAGTGAATGCCAGCCAGCATTAACTTAGCGTGTTTACCTGTAGCCATCTGTGGTCTTATATATGACCTTTACACGATTAGATTGTGGTTCTGCTTAAGATGTTTTAGTTGCAAAGTAAACCATGAGAGCTTCATTGGTTTGCATAACATGCCAGTCTCTGAGGCCTGTTAAATATGTACCATTTGTGTGTGGTTAAATATTTTCAATAGCACTTGGGTATTTTGACCTCTATTCCTATCTAAAACTCAGTGGTTATTTTTAATTGCATAGAAGAAATGGGACACTGTTTTGTCTCAGAAACTGATGCTTTAACTCTCCTGGGCTCCAAGGGCAAGATTTCAAGTGCCAGATTGAGCCTCTACTCACTAACGAAAATTTAACTGCCTTAAATGGTAATTACGCTAGTATTACCATAAAGCAGGGAGCAGACATTTTGAAATGCAAGCTGCAAAGCACAAAAGCTGCTATTTAGGAATTAGTATTTGCAACCCTGGTATCTTGGACCACAGATTATCAGTATAGATGATGATGGAGAGTATAAAAACATTAGGTGCTTCATGAGAAACTTGGGACTACCAAGATGTTAAATGTGTCCAGAGCAATCCTGATTTTTAAGGGCGACTGTTTGGCCTAGGGGGGTTGATGCTTTTGACAGTGCACCATACGGTGTTGGTTGCCAGATCTGGATGAGCAGGGCGTCAGTAAGAATGCAACGTGCTTCCTTCTAGTGTAGCCCAGACACTAGGAACCGCTGGGTTTTTTTCCCCACATAAAGCCTGGACGCCATGATTTTTTTCATAAAAAGCTAGGCACAGAAAGATGCACTCTGGTTTCATCCCAGCAAAACCCAGACATGGGCAGAATATATTCACAGACCTGGAAGCAATCGTGTGGAGGGAATAGCCATAGTCGCTATGAATGTACAACACAGACTTTGGTTCCTCACTAGTATTTATTGTAAACTGGAAAACTTCTGGTTGGAAAGTACTTTTAAACACCCTAATTTATTCTGGACTGCTATGAGAAAAATCAAACTGGCAGGTAGAATAAGCCAAATAATTCTATGTAATAATTCTCTATAATGTACTTTTGACTGCTAAGCCTTCCCAAAGATGAAGCCATTTTCCAGAGGGGTTTCATTTGTTTTTCAGTAACATACAAAATCAGAACATAGAAATAAATAAAAATTTAAAATATTAATATTATATGTTAATA